AAAATCTTTTCCCACACTCAGAGCAGCTAAATGGTCTTTCTCTTGTATGAGATGTCATGTGTACCTTCAGATGACCTGACCAAGAAAATCTTTTCCCACACTCAGAGCAGCTATATGGTTTTTCTCCTGTGTGAGTTATCATGTGTGTCTTCAGATGACCTGTTTGAGAAAATCTTTTCCCACACTCAGAGCAGCTAAATGGTCTTTCTCCTGTATGAGATGTCATGTGTACTTTCAGATGACCTGACCAAGAAAATCTTTTCCCACACTCAGAGCAGCTATATGGTTTTTCTCCTGTATGAGATGTCATGTGTACTTTCAGAAGACCTGACCAAGAAAATCTTTTCCCACACTCAGAGCAGCTATATGGTTTTTCTCCTGTGTGAGTTCTCATGTGTGTTTTCAGAACTCCACTTCTACAAAATCTTTTCCCACACTCAGAGCAGCTATATGGTTTTTCTCCTGTGTGAGTTCTCATGTGTGCCTTCAGATAACTTACTTGAGAAAATCTTTTCCCACACTCAGAGCAGGTAAATTGTTTCTCATCAGCACTACATTTCAAGTCACTGACGGTGTCTTCATCATTTCTAAGAGAGTTTAAACCTGACTGAGGTTCTCTGGTCTCTGTCCAATCATCATCACTGTCATCAGTCTCAGGTTGTAAATGTGTATCTGGATCTGAGTTCCTGGCTGGTTCTGGTCCTCCACAGTCCTCTCCATCAGATTCTGTTTCCATCTGTTCAGTGTGTCTTTGATGAAGCTGTGAGGACTGAGGTTTCTCTTCATCTTCACTCTTCACAGGGACAGGAGCGGATGTGAACTCCTGGTCCTCTTTAATGTGTGGAGGCTCTGGGTCCTCCTGGTCCTCTTTAATGTGTGGAGGCTCTGGGTCCTCCTGGTCCACACTGGAGCTCCACTCCTGCTGCTCAGGGGGAACCTCTTCTTTAACCACCAACAGCTGCTGGACGTCTGCAGGAAACAGGAAACACACACACACACACACACACACACACACACACACACACACATACGTTACAGAGAAATGTTGTCGTTCATTCACATCACAGCTCAAAAACTCCTTACTGAACTTCTACAGATCTCTGAGCATCAAACAGCTTCACAGTGTTCACTCAGCTGTGTCAGAGTGAGTGAGGTTGAGCTGAGGTTTCATTTACGCAGCAATCATTAACATCCATTGAGACTCTTGTCACGTTTGGAGGCTCCAGTGCAGCTCTTCATTTGTTCAGGCTTATGTGAATTATGTGAGAATGACTGTCCATGGGATGCCAGAGTTTGCAGTGAGTCAAGTTTGACAGCTTGCCCATTGAGATCTGTTTCCTGTATCTGTATTTTTAGATTAAGCGAGAAGTAAAAGAGAAAAATAGACGAAAGATCATTTTCGAGGTTTATTTATTGTGTGTGTGTGTGTGTGTGTGTGTGTGTGTGTGTGTCTGACTGAGTTCTTTTTTTTTTGCTTATCAGATCAGAAGGGTAGATATTTCATCTTAGCTTAGATGAAAGAAGAGCGTTTAAAGGAAATGGGAGGAAAGGAATTTGCCTACTAATTTGGAATATCCATGCAATGAGATGCGCATAGAGAAAAACCAGCTACCTCGGTTCTAAGGTAGCTTATCAGGAAGCTGACTGCACCATTGATACGACGTTAATGATAATATTTCACATGTGGGATTGTTGTTTTACTGTTTTTTGTTGTTTTATGTTTTACTTAAACTTTTCAGGGCTGAATATCTGCACAGAGGGTCTGCGATCCTGCCCAAGTTCTAGTTAGAATGAATACTGAAATTTGGTCTAGGTATAAATCTCCTGAAAATCATGGAGAGAAAAAAGATTCTACAACTGAAAAAAGAAAAAGGGAGATATACTCTTTCTCCAAGAAACACATTTAACACAAGAGGAACATAAGAAGTTGGGCAAAATTGCAAACGCTCAAGTTTTTTTCTCCTCATATAGCTCATCAAGGAGAGGCGTAGTGACCATTATAAAAAAACCATATAATTTCAGAAGATAAATAGTACAATGGATAAGGAAGGAAGGTTTGTTTTAGTGATGGGCAGAATAGAAAACACTGAAATAACACTTATAAATATTTACTATCCGCCAGACAAAGGCACTGATCTTATGAACCAAATTCTAGATTTAATAGTGACACATGGAAAAGGAATAATTATTATTGGAGGTGACTGGAACCTTGTTTTAAATTCTATAGATTCAACGGCAGGACATAAACATAAAGCAGAAAAAAATGCAAATATCTTCAGGAAAGCATGTACAGTTAGGGATGCTGGATGTATGGAGAACACTGCATCCAAGAACAAATAATTATACATATTATTCTAATAGACATTCAACATATAATGGATTGGACTACTTCTTCGTGTTTAATAAAGACATAGCAACTATTAAAAAATGCACTATCGGAACAATAACGCTATCAGATCACACTAAGGTCACCTTAGCAGTCAGATTAAACTCAAGTAAAGGAATATATGTATGGAGGATGAATAATTCCCTCTTACAAGACGGAAGTTTAAAAGAGACAGTCAAAAAAACCTTTACTGAATATCTGAAACTAAATGATACGGAGAAAATTAACAATATAATTTTAGTAGAAGTACTCAACAGTGAAGAAAAGACAACGGGAACAAATTAAGATGGAACTCGAATTACAAATAAAAGTACTAGAGGAAAAACAAAAAAAAATCACGCAATCTGAAATTAAATAAACAGCTGAAATAAAAACGCATTGAATTAGACAGACTGCGGACAGAAGAAGTGGAAAAATCATTAATATTTACAAAACAAGAGTATTACGATGAGGGGCCAAGATCAATGAAAATTTTAGCTTATAGGCTCAAGAAGCAAAAAAGTAAATCATATGTTACTAAGTTAAAGGATGATAAATCAGAAATACTAACAGACAAAACTGAAATTGCAGAAGCATTTGCAAAACACTACGAGGAATTACACAGGGATGATGCTGAAAGTATAGATATAAGAAGAACAGAAATATATCTTGAGAAACTTAAAACAAGTTTCAATATCCAAAAATGCTAACCTTATTAAACCAGTAACAATGGATGAAATAAAACAACAAATTAGAAAGCTAAAAAAAGGAAAGGCCCCAGGAGATGATGGGTACACTAATGAATTTTATCAGGAGTTTGGAGAATTACTGACACCTGTATTACAAAAAGCCTATAACTTTGCCCTAGAATCAGGGAATTGGGCTTCAACATGGAACTCATCCATAATCACAGTCATATATAAAGAAGGGAAGAATAAAACGGATAGATTTTCCTATAGACCAATATCTTTACTGAGCACAGATCAAAAAATATTAACATCTATTTTAGCAAACAGGCTTAAAGACATCCTCCCAGATATAATAGATACAGATCAGTCTGGTTTTATCTCGAATAGATTTTTATCTGATAATATAAGACGCACTTTAAATGTGATTGATCATTCTCAAAAAAATAGAAAAGACTTGCTTTTGCTGACACTTGATGCTGAAAAAACTTTCGATAAAGTCCTGTGGCCATATATCTTTACAACATTTAAAGCATTTGGTTTCCATCCAACCTTTATTTCATGGTTAAAATCAATGTACAAAAACCCAGTTGCTCAAGTAAGAGTTAATGGCACCCTATCAAGACGCTTTCATATACATAAAGGAACCAGACAAGGAGATCCACTGTCCGCATCAATTTTTAATCTATGTATAGAACCTCTTGCAGAAGCAATCAGACAGAAAGATGAAATAAAGGGTTTGCTTATAGGCCAGGAATGTCATAAACTAGCACTTTATGCAGATGACATTATACTTTATCTGACTACACCTGAAACTTCACATATTAAAACAATAAAAGAATATAGTGAGCATTCAGGATATAAAATTAACGAAAGTAAATGTGAGTCTATATGTATAGTTAAACAACCAACAGATGACTCGAAAGGAAACCTCAAATTTAAGTGGAACCAGAGTACTTAGGAATAACAATCCATTTGGACCTAAATAAAATCTATGAAGTTAATTATCAGAATTTAGAGAAAAAAATTAAACAATACCTGACCAGGTGGAAAACAATACCAGATTCTATTTTTAGTAGAATAGATACAGTAAAAATTAGTGCTGCACGATTTGATAAAAATGTGTGATTGCGATTCTGGTGGACAATATCGCGATTTGCCACTGTGATTACAATATAATTACAATGAAATATAATAAATAAATGCTATCATGAGTCTTTTTGCTTGATTCAGTGTTTCCCTACATTATATCAGGGGGGCACTGACCTGACATAGTTATTGTTATGGACAGACATTGTGTCAATGACCATCAACAGACTGAGCACAGTCAAACACGCTGCTCACACAGCAGCCAGCACGGAACTGTACACACAGCGGAGCAAGCCTGTGTTGCGTTCAGGCGTTGTCACATAAATGACAAATTCAAGCACGCCATAGCACAACACAGCAGCATGTCAAGTGGGCCGAACCCGAGCAAAATTGCTCAGTTTTTCATTTGTTATGGAGTCCATGATTTCCCTGTGACACTTACAAATGTTTGCTTAACTGTGCTTGGATGTTGTTTAATGAGGCTCTGGCGGCTTTCAGTTGTCTCATTGTCTGTAACGTTACACGGCTCGGCTTTCTCTCGCATGCACTCTTCCTACTTTTCCCTGTGCTGTGTCAAGTGCTGATATAGATTAGTCGTGTTGCCGCGGGACGTGGCGACTTTAACTTTTACACTTGAACAGCACGTCTTTCTGTTCAACATCGCCGTACCTGAATCCAAAGTATCGCCATGTAACAGACGTGTTTTTTCGTCACCAACTCAGCCTGTTCATGGTTGAGCTCATGCTCTTCTTCAGCGTATGTGTTGGTCACTGCTGCACGCCTGCTGCACGCACCAGGATAGCTTGTGGGCGTGATGTCAACAAACTCCACACACTACAGGAGAGGCAGTCACGTTCACAGGCACACGTTAACATTTATTTAGCCTACATTAAATAGCAAACCGCAGCCTTTTATGCGGTTATGTAATCGCACAGCCTGACATCGCGATTGCAATTAGATTAATCGTGCAGCACTAGTAAAAATTATGGTCTTCCTGCAGTTCCTCTTCCTTTTTCAAGCCCTACCAGTTCCAATCCCTCCACAGAGTTTTAAGAGATGGAATAATAACTAATTTTATTTGGAATAACAAAAAAAATGGTCAAACTCAAAACATTAGTAAAATCTAAAGAACGTGGTGGATTAGCACTCCCGGATTTACAGAATTATTTCTATGCGACACAAATAAGTAATATAATGAAATGGACTAATGATGGCACAAAAGCTAAATGGTTTATGATAGAAAAGGAGCTGGCTCCGATCTCAATTAAGACTTTACCCTTTATAGATAAAAAAGATGTGGCACAATTGAAAGGACAAAACAGATGGATTAACAACACTCTATATAGCTGGAAACAAATTTGTAAAAAAAACAAAGGATTCATAATGACTTGTTTTATCTTAGGGAAATGGCATCGGACCCCCAATTTAAACCAAACAAAATGGATAATATATTAAAAATCTGGTCATCAAAGGGACTGCAAATATTAATTAATTAATTATTAATCAAGAATACTGTTAATACCTTTGAAGCTATATCAAATAAATTTGATTTAGCACAGTCCAATTTCTATAAATATCTACAACTTAGAAACTATATCAAAAATTTTCAGAGAAGAGAGACTAACCAAGACCACCACCCCCTAATTACATTTATGATAAAAAAAACTGTAACACAGAGCCCAAGATCATCCTCTCTAAAATATATAAAATACTAGACGACAACATCAATATGATTAGAATAAAGTGGAACTGAGAACTACATGGACAGATAAAAGAGGAAGATTGGGAAAACGTACACAAAGCAATACATAAAACAACAAATTCTAGATACTGGAGGGAGTATGCATGGAAAATATATACAAGATTCTTTATCACACCAATAATGCAATCAAAATGTACAATATCCATTAAACCAGATTGTTGGAGAGGATACGGTGAAAAGAATGCAAATCAATCACATGTCTTCTTTTTTTGCCCAATACTAAAAACGTTCTGGCAATTAATTATAATTTCAATCATGAAAACATTCCAAATTCAACAGACATTCGAATCAAAGTGTATTATTTTAGGTATATCACCACCCGAACTCACATCAGATATAGACAGATACTTATAGAGGATACTTAGAATTGCAGCTATGAAGCAGATAACAAGGAACTGGTTAAAATCCACCTCGCCTTCACTTAACAGCTGGAAGATAAATGTAGACATCATCTCAGAAATGGAAAGGATAACTTACAGAATCAGGAATCAAGAACTGGAATATTTTAAACGATGGAATAAATGGAGAAAGACTCAGCCCTTAATTTTTTTTTTTTTGGGGGGGGATGGGTGTAGCTGTATGTGGATGAGCATGTATGAGCATTATCGTGCATTACCATGCATCATGCAATATTATTATTATTTTCACTCACACACAAATTTCTATATAAATATTGTAAGAATGCTGTGAATAGCAAAATCATGTAAGTAAATGTAAAACGATGTCAACTTTGGCACTCTGACAATAAAGTATATATACATATATATATATATATATACACACATGAAAAGATCTGTTTCCTCTAACACTGTCCCGGCCCAAACAGCAAACAAAGCATGCATTAACAGGAAGCTACCCCCCCAGGTGCTGTGCTCAAACCACTGTTGTATTTGTATTTTTGTATAGTATAGTATAATTCTTTTGTTCTACAGAAACCAGATAAAAACAATTTTGGTGTCGAGGGACCTGTTTTATGGGTTTTATGGTTTCTTTGTGGGGTTTGACTGAGTAAAAGAAAAATATTTGTTTCATGTGTCAAACCGCGTCAAAAGCTATAGACCTATTTTGTTTGTTGAAGACAAGAAGAAGATATTGACTTGGTTTACATTTTGTGCTGCTGAACCACCGAAAAGCTTTTTGGATACTATTTAAATAAAAAACAAACCTTATGGGACAACTTGGATGTATTCTTTTTCCTTTCTGTCTTAATTCTGTGCAAAGTATCGTATCGGACTCGGTTTCAAAATAAAGGACTCGTATGGGATAGGATGCAAAAAAAATGTGATCTGGACATCCCTACAGAGAAGCTAATGACACCAAAGAAGTTAATGACACCAGAGAAGCTAACGACACAAGGCGTAAAATTAACACCCGCAGAGCGCCACCCAGTTGTCAATGAGATGGTGTGGTTCCCCGGGGTGGTGCGAGGGGACATTATGGGACATCTTAGAAAGCATTGTCTGAACATCCTGAGTGAACTTTTTACCCCCATTTTGACACCCGGATGTCTGGAGGGAGCATCCCTCATGACCAGAGTAAGCTCGGGGGCAGAGTTATAAACATTTGACCCTCCTTGTGACCCTCACTGTATATCACACTCATGTGAACTTGAAAATTGTGTTTTGTGCACTGAGGAGCTAAGAAGAACCCACACAGGCTCCTGTACACGTTGCAGAAAGCATCAGCAGCACACTGGATGAGTTTGACATCTCCCGTGAAGCGGTTGTAGCGCTCGCCACCAATAATGCTCTGAACAACGTTAATGCCGTACGTAATTTAGGGCTTATTAATGTACCCTGTTTGGCACACACGTTAAACCTGGCCATGCACAAGGGGCTTGAGGTGAAAGCTGTTGACGCTGCTCTCTCCAGACTAAAGCAACCTGCAGCCCATTTTGGGAGGTCTCCATCCCACACCTGCCTGCTGGAGGAAAAGCAGGAGCTCCTCGGATTGAAAAAAGACAGACCGATAAATGACTGAATCATCAGATGGAATACCATCTATGACATGATATGCCGTGCATCTGAACATCTCATTTGGAACTCAGCACTTCTGAGTGCTCCAAGGTTGAGCAACTAAAAGACACACTGAAACCGTTCAAAGTAGCGTTGTTCCGATTCCGATACCAGTATCGGAAATGTCTCCGATACTGCCGAAAATGCTGGCATCGGTATTGGCGAGTACTGGAGTTCAGGCACCGATCCGATACCACGTAATTTATTAAAATAGGAATCTATTTACCGGTTAGCTCCGTTAGCACACAGTTCTTCTTCGCTTGCTCTTAAAACAGTTGCGCTGTGCTGCCATCTGCAGCCTGCTGTTTTAGAGGGGCGAAGAAGAATTGATCATCTGACCTGCTAGACAAGGAGCTAACTAGCGTTAGCGCATCATGTCGGCGGTGTGGCAGTATTTCACGCTGGATGCTCCCACCAGCAAGACTGAGACATGCAACATATGCCAAGACAAAATTTCGAGGGGTGGCGTGGGTGTTGCTAATTTCAATACCAGCAATTTGATTAAACACCTGAAGACGCGTCATGCTAAAGAGCACGACGAATTTACCCAAGCAAAGGGGAAAAAGAAGGACGAGCTGCAGCAGCAAACTCTGGAAACTGCCTTCCAGCAACGAGATAAATTCCCCAAAGACAGCGAAAAAACAAAGATAACAGACAAAATTTTGGAGTTTATTGTCTTGGATGACCAACCCCTGTCTGTCGTGTCTGCCGCTTAATGGAGCATCTGGAGCCAAGGTACTGTTTGCCAGGTCGTAAATATATCTCTGAAACTTCGCTACCCAAATTATAAGAGGCAGTTAGGGAACACATATCGTGTATGCTGAAAGACGTGCATGCAATCAGCTTTACCACGGACATTTGGAGCTCCGACGTGTGCCCCATGTCTTTGCTAAGTTTAACGTCACACTGGGTGGACAGAGAGTCAACATTTACCCCTCAAAGTGCGGTGCTGCACGCAAAAGAGTTCCAAAGGTCACATACTGGCACATTAATTGCCGAAGCAATTGAGGGGATGTTAGTACAGTGGAAAATCCCCAAATCCAACGTTAATGTTGTTTTGCGCGACAACGCTAGCAACATGAAGAAAGCCATGGACGAGATGGATGTACCAAGTTTGGGATGCTTCGCCCACAATCTCCAGCTGGTGGTGCATGAAGGGCTACTGTCACAGAGAAGTGTGAATGATGCACTGGCGAATGGTAGGAAGATAGTCGCGCATTTCAAACACTTGCCACTGGCCACTACACGCCTAGAGGATCTTCAAAAAGATCTCCAAATGCCCACCAAACCTCTGCACCAAGACGTAGCAACGAGGTGGAACAGTACCTACTATATGGTCGAGAGTTTACTGGAGCAGAAGCGGTCAATTTCAGCATATGGAGCTGACCACGGCCTGCCAGTGACCCTTACAGCTAACCAGTGGGCTTTACTGGAGAAAATAATCACTGTTCTGGCACCATTTGAAGAACTGACCAGACAGATGAGCTCCTCCACCTCATCTGCAGCTGAAGTCATCCCCTCGGTCACAGTGCTAAAACGCCTGCTTTCTCGGGAGAACGAGGAGGACACGGGTATAAAAACCATGAAAACAACCCTTCGAGAATGAGCCCTTGTATGCAGCTGCCACTCTTTTAGACCCACAATTCAAAGACAGGTATATTTAATATTTTTATTAAATGTCTGTATTATAAACAACATTTTTTTTTTTTTTTTTTTTTTTTTACACACATTAAGACATTTATGTATTATTTTTCATTGTTGTTTCAGATACTTCACAGGTGCAGACAGCATCAAGCTTGCCAAGGATGCTCTGACCCGAGAGGTGGAGAAGATGGAGGCGTTACTGAGCAGCAGGACCACACCTGAGGGAGCAGAGGCAGTGCCAGGCAACTCCCATAAAGCCCCACGTATGGAAGCACAGCCAGACAGCAGCAGCAGCAGCAGCAGCAGCAGCAGAAAGAGCAGCTTGAAAGGCCTGTTTGAGGAAATCCTGCAGGAGCATGATGAGGAACGTGGGGCAAGTAGTAGCACAAGCACACAGGTTCAAATACAGACATATATGACAGAGCAAACGGTCCCACGCTCAGACAGCCCATTCCACTACTGGAGAGTCAACCAAATTCGGTTTCCCACCCTGGCTGCCACTGCTGCAAAGTATCTCTGTGCTCCTTGTACCAGTGTTGACAGTGATAGACTGTTCAGTGCAGCATCCAACATTGTTGATGCAAGAAGGAACAGGCTAGGAGGAGAGAGAGCAGAAATGCTCATCTTCTTGAAGAAGAATCTGCCTTTGCTCTTGAAATTATGAGCTAAAATGCTACTGCAATGTGTAACCTCCTTGTTTTAAAGTATTTTGTTTACTGTGTAGCTGCTGCTCTTTTGATTTGTATTTTTTGAATGTTTACTTTATAGGTTGGTGTTGCACTATAAGTTTTTTTTAAACAAAGGGTTTAACCTGAGCCAGGCCTTGCCACAATGATAATCATATATCACAGTCATGCAGGCGTAGTATATATATATTTTTTATAACATACTGGTATCGGTACTTGGTATCGGCCGATACCCACAGCACAAGTATCAGAATCGGTATCGGGAGGGAAAAAATGGTATTGGAACATCTCTAGTTCAAAGTGGCAACTCAGGCCCTCTACACCGATGCCTTCCCCACAGCATCAGTTGTCCTCCCCTGCAGCATGTCATGATATCTCAGCTGAGCACTCCTGATGCATCGCATAAACCAGCCATCAAAGAAGTGAGAGGTATTTGACTTTTATTCTTTATTAAATGTGAAGTTCATAATACCCTCCACATTGCAACAATATGTATTTTTCACGACGCCTAATATCTCTAATACAATTAGAGATGTGAATGCAGTTTTACATTTTCACATAGTGTGTGATATAGGGCTAGATTTATTTTATTATTTTCACAGGCCGGATGGTGGCCAATCTGAAAATGTGCTACAGTGAAGAGAGCAGCAAGTGGATGCTTCTCAATAAAGCAGCCTTTCTGACCCCCTGGTTCTCTCCCTTAGTCCACCTTTCATCCGAACAGAGAAATCTCGTCAGTGATACCTTATCACACGAGATGAAGGACAATGAGACAGACAGTGACTGTACACAAGAGGGAGAAAAGGCAGCTGCTGCCCTGGGAGCACGACACCAGAGAAGCTAACGACACCACAGAAGCTACCGGCACCACAGAAGCTACCGACACTAGAGAAGCTAACGACACCAGAGAAGCTAACGACACCACAGAAGCTAACGACACCACAGAAGCTACCGACACTAGAGAAGCTAACGACACCAGAGAAGCTAACGACACCACAGAAGCTACCGGCACCACAGAAGCTACCGACACTAGAGAAGCTAACGACACCAGAGAAGCTAACGACACCACAGAAGCTAACGACACCACAGAAGCTACCGACACTAGAGAAGCTAACGACACCAGAGAAGCTAACGACACCACAGAAGCTACCGGCACCACAGAAGCTACCGACACTAGAGAAGCTAACGGCACCACAGAAGCTAACAACACCACAGAAGCTGACGGCACCAGAGAAGCTACCGACACCACAGAAGCTAACGACACTAGAGAAGCTAACGACACCACAGAAGCTAACGACGCCAGAGAAGCTACCGACACCACAGAAGCTACCGACACTAGAGAAGCTAACGACCCCAGAGAAGCTAACGACACCACAGAAGCTAACGACACTAGAGAAGCTAACGACACCACAGAAGCTAACGACACCACAGAAGCTAACGGCACCAGAGAAGCTAACGGCACCAGAGAAGCCAACGGCACCAGAGAAACTAACGGCACCACAGAAGCTAACAACACCACGGAAGCCAACGGCACCACAGAAGCTACCGACACCACAGAAGCTAACGGCACCACAGAAGCTAACGACGCCAGAGAAGCTACCGACACAACAGAAGCTAACGACCCCAGAGAAGCTAACGACACAACAGAAGCTAACGACCCCAGAGAAGCTAACGGCACCAGAGAAGCTAACGTGGCTTTAATCGTCGACAGACTGAATATTTATTGAACAAACCTGCAGTTATATTATTAATAATGAACTTGTAATGTTTAATGAACAAACCTGCTCTGTGTAACCGAAGCTGAGGGTTGAAAACAGCGTCCAGTAGTTTCCGTTGTCGCTCGTTCTCCTCTTTTGATCGACAAAGTTCCTCCTCGTACTCTGCTATCGTTCTTTCAAACAGCCCAAATATCTCTTCATCAGCCGCAGTTAGTCGCTGCTTCAACAACGATCTCAGCACTTGGACGTTAGACATGTTCACACTTTTAAAGTAGTGAGCGTTTAAATACGAACTCTTCCAAGTGTGCTGTTTTAAGCTGAATGTCTAGAGGCGTTTGAGCTCGTGATGTTGCGTGTTGTGCCGATGCTTCCAAGCCGAGTAAGGAGGATCTTAATCGAGCCCTGCGTTCCAGTACCCATACTACCATACCATACCATAGTATGCCAGAAGAAGAATTAGTGTGTCCCAATACATAGTATGTCAGATGCAGTTTGCCAAAAGTACCAGGATGTTCTACTACATCCGGTCACATTTCGTAGTATGCATGTCAGCATGCTTCTTTGGCCATTCTGACCCACAATCCTTTGCGCAGCGGAAGTTATGTCGCACTGACTGAGCTGTGTGTACAACCAACGCCCACATATAGCACGGAAGACAACAGGACACAGACAACACAGACAACTTTATTGTGATAATGTTAGGGTTCAACTATGACTACAATATAGAAGATTCTACCAGTATAGGCTGTGATGTAAGTGTGGTATAAATAATGTATGAATATGACTAAATATGAATACACTATGGGCCAGGTATGAGCAGTATAGACTAGTAAATATATAAATAGTAAAAGTCAAAAACATATTAAGTAATGTAGAAAGAATGTGCAAGTATGTTAAACTACAAATAAAAGTAATGTGAATGTAAGGCTGCTTCACGTGCAGACAGAATATAGTGCCAGCATAGCTGTAAATATATTTAACAGCAAACATCTGCCAGCAACAGAGAGCTACAGTTGTGCTCATAAGTTTACATACCCTGGCAGAATTTGTGATTTTTTGGCCATTTTTCAGAGAATATGGGTGATAAGAGAAAAACTTTTTTTTCAGTCATGGTTAGTGGTTGGGTGAAGCCATTTATTGTCAAACTGTGTTTACACTTTTTAAATCATAATGACAACAGAAACTACCCAAATGACCCTGATCAAAAGTTTACATACCCTGGAGATTTTGGCCTGATAACATGCACACAAGTTGACACAAACGGTTTTAAATGGCTAATAAAGATAACGATCCTCACCTGTGATCTGTTTGCTTGTAATCAGTGTGTGTGTATAAAAGGTCAGTGACTTTCTAGACTCCTGACAGACCCTTGCATCTTTCATCCAGTGCTGCACTGACGTTTCTGGATTCTGAGTCATGGGGAAAGCAAAAGAATTGTCACAGGATCTGCAGGATAAGGTAATTGAACTGTATAAAACAGGAAAGGGCTATAAAAAAATATCCAAGGAATTGAGAATGCCAATCAGCAGTGTTCAAACTCAAATTAAGAAGTGGAAAATGAGGGATTCTGTTGAAACCAAACCACGGTCAGGTAGACCAACAAAAATTTCAGCCACAACTGCCAGGAAAATTGTTCAGGATGCAAAGAAAAACCCACAAATGACTTCACCTGAAATACAGGACTCTCTGGAAAAAGTGGTGTGGCTGTTTCAAGATGCACAATAAGGAGGCACTTGAAGAAAAATGAGCTGCATGGTTGAGTCGCCAGAAGAAAGCCATTACTATGCAAATGCCACAAAGCATCCCACTTACAATACGCCAAACAGCACAGAGACAAGCCTCAAAACTTCTGAAACAAAGTCATTTGGAGTGATGAGACCAAAATTGAACTTTTTGACCACAACCATAAACGCTACATTTGGAGAGGAGTCAACAAGGCCTATGATGAAAGGTACACCATTCCTACTGTGAAACACGGAGGTGGATCGCTGATGTTTTGGG